AAAATGGGCCCTTTTTTGTCGATCATCTGATGAATCAAAAAAAATGGACCCCGTGAATCAAAAAGGATGGGTTTGCGTAATTCTCTTCAAGAAATAAACAAGATAAATATCTTGCTACTTTATAACTAATGTGAATTATAATCTAAAAAACTAGTTATAAATAAGTAAAGATATTGTTAATTACTAAAAGGTATAAGCTAAATAAAAAATAATATCTAATATGTAATCGTGAGTAAAACAAACAATTGAAACAAATCTAAGGATATATGTATATAAATAATAACTATCATTTCAAATTTGGTCTTGCTTAGCCTACTATAATTTATATCATGATTTTGTATCAATAAGTATAAAAATAGTCTGATCGACTAAGGTTTTAAGGATTATATTAATTAACTTGCACGCATATAAATTTTAAAAAAAATATATTAGAGCTAATTTAATAATTAATATAAAATATCAATAAGTACAAAATGGTCTAATTAACAAGAATTGTTAAAAATAATGATAGTACAGATTTTTAAAATCTTGACTTTTCTATAAAAATATAGATTAAACTATAGGTTGTTTTTATATATAATGGGTTGATTTTTCATTATAAAAATTCATAAAATTTTCTTATTTTAATTCCTGATTTTTGCTCTCTATAGATGAAAACAAACTTTCTAATTACAATTCAACTTTGGGTCTTTTTTATCAGTATGATGATGATACTTTCACTTTACACTCTCAATCATTAACATATTTAGCTCATCAAGTTACTAATAGTGAAGTTATTAATATTAAACCTAAAAAAATAAAACTTAGTGATAAAGGCAGTTTTACTAAGCCTTTTTTTAACTTTTATAAGTGTCCTAGAGCTCAGCCTGAAGAAAAGACAATAACCAAAGCCAAATATATGGTTGCAGATTGTTAAACTGAATATATATAGCACAGTTCAACAACTAATCTAATTAATCATCTTTGTGATACACATCAGATTACCAAAATATCACTTGAAAATAAGTCAATTGAAGAACTTAAAAATCCTTCTCAGCAAACAATAGAAACAGTTTTATTAAAACCTCATTCAGCATCAAAGCAAAAAAAGCTTATGCAAGATATTATTAAACTTTTTATTTCCTGTACACTTCCATTATCTTTAATTGAAAATAAAAATTTTCATACCTTTTTACACTCCTTTGACTCCCAATATGAACCACCTTGTGTAAACACTATTAAAAATGAAATTGCAAATAGAACTTTTTATACTACTCAAGTTATCAAACAAATACTTTATACACAAACAGATACTGTAATACTTACATTTGACTTATAGATATCTTATACATATAACTCTTATTTAGGTGTAACCTGTTATTAGATTTTAGAAGAATTTCATATGCGCAATCTTACACTAGGTGTAATTGAAATGGGTGTGTATAAAACTGCTAATGATATTGTTGAATCTATTGAGCCAATGCTTAAAGAATTTGATATAGATAGAAATAAAATCCTAAGTATAATAACAGATAATGGTTCTAATATCAAAACAGCTATTACATGACTTTCAACAAGCCTTTTAATATTAAAAACAATTGCTAATATTTTTTGTGCCACTCATACATTACAATTAAATATTGAGGCAGGCTTGAAAATTGCATATACCTTAATTACAAAATGTAAAATATTAATTTTGCTTATGAGTAGAGAAAAAATAAAAACAGTTAAGAGAAGTACAAATAAGAGTTAATATGCCCAAAAATAATATAGTTGATATTATATTTGATGTAAAAACTAGATAGAATTCTACATATATAGCTCTTGAAAGACTTACAAAGCTTGAACGACCAATTAAGTAGCTAACTAATGATCTTAAAAATTCAAATAATAATGCCCACTGTTATGATAGTGCTAATATTCGAGATAAATTATTATTAAATAATGAATTCAAAAATATACAAGCTTTTGTTAAACTTTTATATCTATTTGACAAAGCTACAGAAATACTTTCTGAATCAAATTATGCTACTTTAAGTATTATAGTACCAACAATAGAAGAATTAA